AAGGAGCCGTTTTCGCAAGTAAATTCGTTTGTCGCTGCGGCAAGAGGATCCATAATCCTACCTTGTTTAGCAGCGCGAGCATTGAACGAAATAAAGACTCAACTATTTCCTGAGACTGATTTCATTATTCAGTTGTTAGCCTGCTATTCATTTTCTTCGCGATAATCTAATTGTAAGTGCTCAACTCATAAAACTCTCTCTCTCTCTCTCTCTCTCTCTCTCTTATGAGAAAAAAGTAGCCTTAGATTATCTCCTCTCTAAAATCAATATTACCTATAAATTAGATTGAGTATTCGTTGCGGCGCTGTGGGGCCTCCGCTAGATAGATGCAGCAATACTCAATTGTATTTAAAACGGCTCATCGAAGCGGCGAACACTGTGTTCCCTATTCGTTGATTGTAGAAATATCAAAACTTATAGAGCTTTCACGTGTCAACTTCTTACTTATTCTCGGAAACGCGATTATGAATATATCATACAGTACGAACTATTTATTTTAATAACCTAAGATGGAATGAAACGTTTCAATGTAATCATTTTCACTCCAAAATTTATTTTAGTATTTATGATTTTTTTACTCTACACATTCTTAAAGAGTTTATATTTTCGTATAACTGTGAATTATACGACCATTTTGACCGTTATATTTATTATTTATATAATCATTTCTTACTTTACATTTACTGTGCCTAAGAGACTATTATTATAGTTTCTATTCGAATCATTTACTTTGTTATCGTTTGTACTATTTTGACAAGAAATATGCAAAACTTTTCTTGTTGGGCCATCGTTAACATCGTGTCGTATGTTACAAAACGGTAAAAAAGTATACTTAAAAATGCTAAGATACAAATGGGTAATAGTTAATAAAATGAACTAAATGATTACATCTTCTGATTACAGAAGATGTACAAGGGGAGGGGGGTCAATAAGTCTCTACAAAATCCAAGAGATGGCGCGCGTCACGCTTAAGTTATGATGTTTTTGGCAAGTAATACTACTAACTACATATCGTACAAAGTTTCAGCTTGATTCATTAAGTCGTTTTTTTGTGAGCGTTGGTTGAACAAAAAGTTATTGGTTTATTTGAAAAATGGAAAAAACAGAGTTTCGGAGATAAAACATTTTCATTTGAAAGGCCTTACACCAAAAAAAATCCCAGTTGAGTTGAACGCCGTTCATGGCAAGTCTGCCCCTGTGTTTAAGACTGCTTATAACTGGGTAAATGAATTTAAACGCGGCCGTACAACACCAAAAGATGAACCTCGTTCAGGACGCCCTGTAGAAGTGAGTACGCCCGAAATGGTCAACAAAATCCACGATATGGTGTTGAGTGATAGAAGATTAAAATTGCGAGAATTAGTTGAGGCCACAGGGATATCAAAGGGTACAATTATTTCAATTTTGCATGACAAATTGGGGATGAAAACATATCAGCAAGATAGGTGCCGCGTTTACTCACTGTTGAAAACAAACAAACCCGCGTGGTCATCTCTGAGGCTCTTTTGGCACACATACGTCGTAATCCGGAAGACTTTTTGCGTCGACTCGTAATTGTAGATAAAACATGGGTACACCACTACACTCCTGAAACCAAAGAACAGTCTAACAATGGATTACCGCAGGAGAACCAGCCCCAAAGAAGACAAAGACAATAAAGTCAGCTGGCAAGATTATGGCCACGGTTTTCTGGGATGCGTATGGAATCATCTACATCGACTACTTGGAAAAGGGCCAAACGGTCACTGAACAATATTATGCGCCATTATTACGTTAGTTGAAAGAAAAAATTTGAGAAAAACGTCTTCACTTGAACAACAAAAATATGCCTCTTTCTTCAAGACAATGCTCGAGTTCACACGTATGCAGTTTCGATGACAAAAATTAACGATTTAAAGTTCAAATTAATTGACCATCCACCATATTCGCCTGATTTGGCTCCCAGTGACTTTTTCTTATTTTCTAACCTCAAAAAATGGCTTATCGGATAACGATTCACGTTGAATAAAGAAGTCATTGCCGAAACAAATGCTTATTTTGAGGGTTTTCAGAAATCATATTTTTCTGATGGCTTAAAAGAACTGGAAGGCCGTTTAATAAAATGTATCGACCTTCAAGGAGATTATGTTGAAAAATAAAAAAAATTACATACGCAAAACTTTTTTTCCCTTCTTTTTGTAAAGACTTATTGACCCCCCCCCTCCCCCCTCGTAATCATATACACGCTTGAGCAATTTAATATTGTGTCCGACATTGTTACAAAATGCACTAGAATCTGCTTACTCTGTTTACTGTGAGCAAGAATGCAAAATATATCTGAACTCCTATTCGGACGTTTGTCATACATTTTTGTCGCCATTTTGTCCAATTAATAATGATTGCTATATAAATAAAATTAATTTATCGTCTATTTTTTAATTTATTTATTTATTATGAATCTCTTTTATATTGATATTTCTTTATTCAAAGAAATCATATATTTATTTTGATTTATAAACTCTTCTGAATTTATAATTTTTTTATAATAGTAGTTCACGATTTTCAATATTGTATTACTTTATATACCATATTTTTAGCCGAATTACTGTTAATGTTTCACTTATTTCATAAGCTTTTTTTTTTATACTTATTTTTTACTTGTTACTTGATATGGTATAGCAATAGAATTGACCTGATTTATGTATTTTAGGTAATTCGTTATTTGTCGAGTCAGCTCTAATCGGTTCTGCAGTTTTTTTGCGAAATTGACGAGGTTAATAATAATCGTATAAGTACACTCGATTTTGGATAATTAACCCAGTAAGTCCCAAATGGATGATGTTTTTCTACTGTTTTCAATTAATTTTCTAAATGTGAAATCGATGTTAAAAAAAATCGGAAAAGGACATTTCCGACGTAAAATTGTCTGTACTTTCGATATACGTTGTCAGAATTTTGAAATAATGTATATTAACAAATTGATAATTGTTTATTTAATAAAAAATGCGAAATTTTGAGTGGTAAAAATTTTTAAATCCTTGTTTTCGAGTTGAATCTAAATGTAGATCTTTATGAATAGCACATAAAAGGCGTCCTCGCATCCTGGACTTTAAGTTATAGCGGTAGGTTTTTCGAAATTCAACATGGCGGCATCCAATACGGCGGTTCAAAGAAGGACATTTTTTGCTACTTTGCGTAATTTTTTGAAAAATAATATTTTTTTACCAATATTTATGAAACTTCGTGTACAGGGTTTTTTTGGGTCGCTGATTACGAATTTAGAATCAGATTTTCAAAATTCAAGATGGCGGATCCAACATGGCGGCATAAAATTTCGAAAAAAGTCAGATTTTTATGAAAATTGGTGTACAGAGGTTTTTTGGGTCGCTGATTACGAATTAATTATCGGATTTTTAATATTCAAGATGGCGGCTAAAAATTTAAAAATTGTCTCATTTTTTATAAAAATTGGTACCTGTAGGTCTTTTAAATCACTGATTAACAATTTATAGGCAAATTTTTAAAACTTTACATAGCTAATTCAAAGTTTTCTATCCTGTAACAATATTCTAACCTAAGAAAATGCATGTATAAGGGTGTCTTGAGCTCATGTCATGTATATACTAACAGTTTTCAAAGTTTTGAATTGTCGGTTAAAAATATGGTCAAAAGCTAGATTGATCAATATTTTCAAGCTTTTGACTACTAGAATTATTATATTCCATATTTTATAAAACTTCTGCTCGCAATAAAAAATTACAAAATATTTAAAAATAAAAATAAAAAAAAAGAAATAAAAAAAAATAAATAAATAAAAAAATAAAAAAAAATAAAAAAAAAAATAAATTAAAAAAAGGCTCCCTGTGTTGCGTTCACATCCTCGTGGTGAGAGCTGGGCAACGGCATATTTTTTGATGGCTAAGTAACGTACTTTATTTCGATAAAACATTTAAAACCCGGAAAATTCTTAAAAACTGAGAAAATTTTTGAATTTTTCGACGCCATATTGAATCTGCCATCTTGCCATCATTTTTCGTTTTTCAACTGCCATATTGGATCCGCCAACTTAAATTTTAAAAATCTGATAATTAATTCGTAATCAACGGCCCAAAAAATCCCTATATACGAAGTTTCATAAATATTGGTAAAAAAATATTATTTTTCAAAAAATTACGCAAAGTAGCAAAAAATGTCCTTCTTTGAACCGCCATATTGGATGCCGCCATGTTGAATTTCGAAAAACCTACCACTATAACTTAAAGTCCAGGATGCGAGGACGCCTTTTATGTGCTATTCATAAAGATCTACATTTAGATTCAACTCGAAAACAAGGATTTAAAAATTTTTACCACTCAAAATTTCGCATTTTTTGTTAAATAAACAATTATAAATTTGTTAATATGCATTTTTTCAAAATTCTGACAACGTAGATCGAAAGTTCAGACAATTTTACGTCGGAAATGTCCTTTCCCTATTTTTTTTAACACCGACTTCACATTTAGAAAATCAATTAAAAACAGTAGAAAAAAATCGTCCATTTGGGACTTAATGGGTTAATGAGATATTTATTTGATTTGGAAACAACACTTTGCAATCAATCAATAATAATAATTATATGAAACGTAACTTAAACGTAGTATCAATTCAGTGTAATATACATTTAAGGTAACATAAATTCAATGTAAAATGTAAAATATTAAGACCGTACAAGGATTCAAGAGAGTTAGTTCTGCTAAAAATCGAGGTGTCGTCTAATGCCTTGATATTTCGGCCTAATAAATTTACGCCAAGTTCGATTGATTGCAAAATTCCAAACTCATCAAAGGAAAAAAGTGATTAAATTTCAGAATGTAATAGTTGCTTCAATCATTATAGCATTTAAAATCAATTTCAATTAAGTCTTCAAGCACCAACAAACTATTTCTCTCGATTATTGACTATATTTTTCATTTAAAATACATTAGAAACGGTGGCGTCCATCCATAATAATTAAAAAAGGTTGTTTTTTAAAATGAAAGTAATTTTATCATGTAATGAAATATATTAAGAGTGGAACATTCCATTGATAACATATTATTAAATCTTACAGAAATGTTTTTCACAAGGTTTACTAAAATAATTTGCTACCAACCTTTTAAATTTTAAATAGAATTTGTATATATACAGATTAAATAGACTGAAAATTGTCCAAAGAATGACTTATTCTTTTTTATTACCTAGTTAGTAAAGAATATTGGCTTTCAATACATTATTCCATGGAATCAAATAGTGAGAATATATTATTATTCAATATTCAAATATCGGAGCATGCTTTCCTTCAAAGATGCGATTTTGAGCAATTCAAACGTATTTGACTGAAATTATCTGAAATAATACTATTGATAATTTTTTATGTAATATTATAACATTTATTCCAGCAATCTGAATAAATGTTAAATAAATGTTAATAAACGGTAACTAAATATCTTTCACTAAATTTAATATTAGGAAATTTTTTAGCTGTTTCTCGGCAGCATCTTAATGTTATTTGCATATTAATTTTTCAAAGCGATGAGGTGATTTCATTATTCAAATAGATATCTTTTACATTCATCAGATCATTAGCCTAATCTCCGAAACATAATTTTTTCAATGTCGACGAAAAATAATATAACGAAATTTGCAATCCAGTCTCAATCATCGTTGTCTTTGGTAGTTTTATTAATCTAGAGGAATTATCATGTTTCATAGAATTCATTTACTTAAACAGTTACTTTTTTGCAAATCTCATTAGTATATTCACTACACTTAGCAGTGCCACCTAAATCTCCAGTCAAGAATTTAGCTTCTTTAATCGTATCATAAGCAGCATGTTCAATAATTCGTGCGTGGTCATTTAGGCCCATATATTTCAACATCATAACTGCAGATAATAATAAAGCAGTTGGATTGGCTTTATCTTGTCCGGCAATATCTGGTGCAGTTCCGTGTACCTATTAAGAAAATATAATAAATTTTTTAAGAAATTCTGCTTCTTTATGTTATAATTTCTTAGAAGTATTAGAAACCTACAGATTCAAAAAGAGCTCCATTTAAACCTATGTTACCGCTTGGGGTGAGACCTAAACCTCCAACAAGACCGGCACACATGTCAGAAAGAATATCACCATACAGGTTAGGCATTACGAGAACATCATATTGACTAGGATCTTGCACCATATTTAAACATACTGTATCTAAATATCTTTCTTCAAATTTAATATTAGGAAATTTTTGAGCTGCTTCTCGACAACATCTTAAAAATAAACCATCGGACATCCTCATAATATTAGCTTTATGTACAGCTGTAACCTAAAATTAATAAGAAATTTTAATATTATTCAAAATACTGTGATTTTCCTTTTATAAAATAGATAATATCTTCAAGTAAATTTTCAATTAAATGATTCGAAGGAAGGATGAATAAATTAAAATTAATATAGGTACATAAATTAACTATATTTAAATTAAGATTTACATAAATCTTGAAATGGATACTTCTTAAGTAGTCTCATTTTAAAAACAATCTTAAAATTTTATACGTGAATTTGTTGCAAAGATGGAAATTTCATATTGTTTTCACCAAGAAACAATCAAGCCATGGTGAACTAACTTTCGATAACTGATGAGATGAACTGATGAATCGGAGATATGACAGGTGAGCAAATATAACATTACTTCACTGGCGAATTAGATTTATTCCGTAACGATAACAAGCGATGATCAACATCAACTGTATACAATTACTTTTTTCGCTAAATTCTGTTCAGCAGTTTATAGGCGTGGATTAATATTTTTGTTCTCCTATATCCCGGAAAAAACAGCGTCAAAGCTTTACGTTTTCCACGTCAATTAGTTTGTCAACGCTCGGTTTAGTTTAATTAGCAAAATTGTAAGAACCTTCAGAAATAAAAAAAAAAAAACACGAAATTTTGAGTAACTTTTTACGACGGCAACTTCAGAGATCTGCATGTACGAGGGTTGCTACTTATATTTTGAGCCTTGGCAATACTAAGTGTTTAGAGGCACCATCTGACGTTTTCAGTGGAAAGTTTGACATTTTTAACCATAACCTTCTTCAGAACATTTTTTCATTTAAGTGCAATTTGTGTTGTTCACAGTAACTTGAAAAATTCATCTCGGGCAAAAAATGGAATTAACTCGTGAGCATTTTCGTGCGATGATTTTCTACGACTTTCGACGTGGGCTATCAAGACAGGAGTGCATCGATCAACTTACTTCGACTTTTGGCGATGAAGCCCCATCCCTTGCCACTGTGAAACGCTGGTATAACGAATTTAATCGTGGCCGCAGTTCGCTCGGGGATGAAAGTCGTGAAGGTCGTCCAAAATCAGTTGTTGTGCCAGAAAACATTGATTCTGTGCACGAACTAATAAAGCAAGATCGGCATGTACCATATCGTGAGATTGAGGCATCCTTGGGCATTAGTATGACGAGCATCAATAAGATATTGCATGAACATTTAGCTGTAAAAAAGATTTGTTCGCGTTGGATCCCCCATAATTTAACAAAAGCTCAAAAAGATGCTCGCATCAATTGGTGCAAAAAAATGCTCAAAAAATACAATCGCGGTGCATCAAACGCTGTGTATAACATCTACACAGGTGACGAATATTGGATCTATGCATATGAGCCTGAAACAAAACAGCAATCCATTGTATGGGTCTTCCAAGACGAGCCGAATCCAACAAAAGTGATTCGTGCGCGAAGCACTTCGAAGCACATGATCGCCTGTTTCTTTGGAATAACTGGACATGTGGCAACTGTACCGCTAGAGCATCGTAGAACAGTAAATTCTGAATGGTATACAACCATTTGTTTGCCAGAAGTGCTTGGTGAAATACGAAAAAAGAAGAGACAACGAAGGATCATTCTTCATCATGACAATGCAAGCTCTCACACATCAGCTAAAACAACCTCCTATTTGACTGGCCAAAACGTTGAATTGATGGATCATCCTCCATACAGCCCTGATTTAGCACCAAATGATTTCTTTTTATTCCCACATATCAAGAATAAATTACGTGGACAACGTTTTTCGGCGCCTGAAGAAGCCGTTGATGCATTTAAAAACCATGTTTTGGAGGTACCTCAATCAGAGTGGAAAAAGTGTTACGAAAATTGGTCCGAGCGCATGCAAAAGTGCATTTATTATCATGGAGAATACTTCGAAAAACAATAAAGCCATTTTAGATAATAAATTACTGTCTTTTCATTCTTAGGCTCAAAATATAAGTAGCAACCCTCGTATTATCCTTGCATGCAACCTTCTCCAATGCAATTGCAGTAAAAGTTTGAAAAAAAATTATATAAAGTACGACTTCAATGGCTAATGGCTCATTCGCTTGACGTCGAACTTGGTACAAATTATTAAGCAACGATTAAAAATTATAATTTTCAATAATTTTATGAATACATTTTTTAAACATTTAAATGCCAATCTGCTAAAATATCCGACTCAATTCAATAAAATCCGCGCTTTCTATGTTTCAATTGTTATAAATGACAATTGTTATAAGTGTTCAATTGTTATAAGTGACAATAGTCACAAAACAAGTTCGAGTGGAATGTAATACCAACCGTACCTTATCTCTTTCGGTAGCAATCATTCGCAATACTTTTTTTGAAGAAATAGTGTGATGCAAATTCAATTACGTGTACGACGTTAAAAATGTTGTAATTTTTCTTAAAGCACGTATTATAGTGTAAATTTTATTAAATCATTGACACTGCAAATACAGGTTCTTTCTTTTTAACTAGATTGTCAAATACGTTACTAATATTTTTATCGCGCGTTTCTGAATCGAAAGACCGTTAGTCTATACATCACATTTATTATCAAATGTAAGAGTAAATAATTAACGGCTTTGTGCTATACCACGCTGTCTGTTGGCGGGGAGGGAGAGATGTACTGAATTTCGAGAAAAGTTGCCGTGAGCCTTCAAATTGAAACCAAGCAAAATTTTTTTATTTTCTCCGTAACTATTGCATATAAATTCATCATTTTTTAACAAATTTGGTGTAACTCGACGTAATATTAACTTTTACATAATTGATTATCATGTAAAGCTATTATCAACTATCGTAATTGTAAAGTTTTTAATATCGGTTAGTATCTGTTCAATATTTTGGAATATTTCCCGCAAAATTTATTAATAGCTATTTTCATTTCAGAATAGTCTATTATTTAACGTCATATATCGTTTTATGAGAATATAATTATAATAAAAATTAATAATTTTATACTTCTAATTAGAGAAAAAATTAGTAGTTGTATGAGATGAAGATTATTTTTTGTATATTTTTATTATTTTTAATAGATAAATAATATATTATTATTTATGCAATAATTCATTTACAATATGTAACAAATGCCCAATGTCGTCACCAATTATTTAAGGGGGGATAAGAGAGGCGCTTTTAATCTCAGCAATCGAAGAAGAGAAAAAGAGGATAGATCAATAAACTATTCAGATACAATCATCTTATCAAAATGCAAAATCTTAATACTAACTAATAAACTCAATAAGGAACATATACCCATCTTAGACTCATTATAGAAAAAACAGAAACGAACGCATAATGACTGACAATTTACAGTACCATCGACCGGAATAAACTAGGTGTGAACTGCCCTACGGGTGAACGCCTTGGCAGCCCACTACCTGTCACCCGCACGAACGGTCACATAACGGCAGATTTTTGTTGGTTGCTTAAAAAGGTAAAACGAGGAAAATGCAAAAAAGGAAGAGATCCGCTGTAGAAATCTTTTGAAAATAGAAGAGTCCGTTATAAAAGAAAAAAAGTGTAAATTTAGATACATCTATAATCTAGACTCAATGGGATCAAGCGAACCTCGAATTTAGATTCAGCGGCCCTGAAAACTATAGAAATACTAGTTATTCCTTCCTAAACGACGTTTTTCTACTTGACCTTTAAATGCCCTTGAACCTGAAGTGTTGTCAGCCTGACCTGTTGCTAAGGTCAAACGGATTGCAAATTCGGATTCATCGACCCTCAAACTTATAAAAATACTAGTTATTCCTCCTTAAATGGTTTTTTCCTCAATGTAATCTTCGAATGCCCTTGATCCTGACGTGCTACGATCAAAGAGATCACGGATTCGGGTTTAGCGACCCTCAAACCGTATGAAAATAGTTGCCTGATTTCACGAAGGCATACTTTTGTATTGTTGAAATCATCATACTGATTCTCAAGATATTAACGTTCAATTACCTTGAAATGATATACAGTCACGATAAAAAAAATGAAAAATATTATACCTGAACGTAAAATTTTCCGTACTTACAGAATCTGCAATCAAAATTTAACTTTTTGCACAATATGCACATTTGACCTTAGAAATGACTTTGATTCAGATATCTTGAGAACAAACAGACTCTACATACAGCAGTCCTCTAAACCATAGATACACTAGTTAAATTTTTTAAAACTACTTTTTCCTCACTTTGACCTTCAAATGCCTTTGATCTTGACGTGGTGGGGCAAAACTGACTGCGGATTTTGATTCAGCGTGACAAAATATATGGGAATATATGTATGTTGTTTTTGATACAGACGACCTTTTTTTTGTGTGCCTGTCCAGTTACTGCGCACTTTGAAAAAGTGAATTAATTAAATTAAAGAAATGAAAATAATTTTCGAGACTTGCAATTTATATCCATGTTATACAACTAGAAAAAAGAAATATTTTACTATTAATTAAACTAAAGCATTAAACTAAAATCAATTAGAAAAATTAAAAATGATATATTAATAATTAACTGTATTAATTAAGAGTGTGGGCAAAACTGTCCATGATGTAAGTAAATATCTAAGTGATTCATATACTATAGAAAAAGAGAAGATTAACTTATTTGTGAACTTAATTGTGAAAATAGTGGATATAGATAGTTATAAGAAAATAAGTGATAAAGCAATTGCAAATGATACAAAGATTAGGAATCTTGAATATCTAAAAAATAAATGTAAATTATTACATACATATGACCATCAAAAATAAAAGCAAATTACAAAAAATAATATTAGAGGTAACAAGCAAAATATATAAGTTAATAAAGAATAATTATTCAAGAGTTTACGTTAGATATCAATTTTGTAAAGCATATGATGTACTTAACCCATTATTACTGAAGCAAAATCCAGGCCAAATAACATCAAACTAACCATTGGATAACTGTCAAAACGAAAAAAAAATTAATACGTATTATTTCATTTACGATTGCAATTGCTTATGCGAAAGTATTTAAACAAATTAAAAAAAATTTTGT